TACGTTTGTTCGTCCATTCTTAAATAGTTGTGCCAATCTTTAGGTACTAACCTCAATTCTGAGATCAGGTTCACATGAGAATACGATCCTCTTTTTTTAAGCCACTCTTTACACCATAGACTTTCAGGCACATGTTTTTTCCCGCAAGTTTTAGACTTAACTTTTTCTAATCACTAATCACGCAATGAAGGAAGTCAATATCTCTGACGTAAGGCGAACAACACTCCGATACATAAGATGCATAAATTGTAAAGTCCAGATTAGATTCAATTGTTATCGTCCACAACACAAGGAATGATGTAAACATTCATGCGGCAGCAAAAAACGCAGCGAGTAATGTTATCGATTTTTGCAGCAAAACTCGATTTAGAGCCATGCTTTCTCGAGCAACGAAAATTTGTTACGCCAAGCACAAATTAATCGATCCTATCGATTCCACGTGACTATTTTCTTTCGATAATCGTACGATGTTATTACTTGTGATGTCACTTACAAGTTGCCACGTTGGGGTTTTCCCCAAAATGTTGGTTTTATAATAGGGAAATTCTACAGCCTATTCTCCAAGGGAAAATTGGGGAATATATAAATTTTTATTTAATGATAATTTAACTTATAATTATTAAAATTCAATTGTTTTTAAACCTTTCATTTCACTCCATTAGACTACCTAAACAGATAAAAGTTCGATTAATTTTGTTAAAAATCTGTAATGCTACGAGAAATTATTTATAGTGACATTGTCACAATGCTGGGCTACAATTTTTAATAAATCTTTAATTTAATATATATTCTCTCCACCTCAAATTAGTAGTGGCTTGCCCCTGTACATCGTACTTTTCCTTTAATAATAAAGTTGTGCCGGTCTATATAACATTTATCAGGAGAAAATTTTTGAATTGAAATAACATGACTTCCACTTTGTATCAGAAGTTCTTATATAGTTAATTGGGGTCTCCTGCCCCTAAGGTTTCTATATTTGGTCTCATCTTTCATCTATCTAACTTCATAATCAAGATTAAGGAAAGACAGATGTACGGACAGAGGACAGTAGGAATTTATAATCTACAATTTGTTCAAATTGCAGCTTAATTATGTGATTTTATAATAGCATTCTGACAGAACTAAAGAAATAAAATAGTAAAGAAGGCGATCAAACAGACTGCCTTTAATAAGTAAGTCACAAAGAAATCTTGCATATTTGCTTTTGAAGAAATGTAAAAGAAATTTTTGGTAATAGATGGTGGTAAAAATTATTAGCTTGTATATGATTATAAAAAAGTTACATTTACTCTCATAGTTTTTGAAGATTTTGCAAACAAATATGGGCAAAGTTATTGATAGATAGTACTTAATTTATTAAACAAGACCCTAACTTGCTAGATCAAGACAAAGACTAAGATCTGAAACAGTCAAGTTCAAGATTTTAATTAACTGTCAAGACCAAGATGCAAGATTCTGACACCTTATGACAATGACTTTTTTAACCTGCAAGAATTTAGAAATCCTTACATAAAATATAATTTATAAAGCAAAAAATACTGTATAAAGAGGAAACACTTTATTATAAAAAAATAAACAGTTAGGAACTTAAAAAGCATGTAGCTGGATATTAAGTACCTTGTGAAAAAAATAAACTTGACAAGGAATTGTGCATGTCAAGATGGCAAGTATTGCTGTGATAGATCGAGATTGCTCTCTATAGCCCTGTTCATTTTATCTAAAAAGTATACATTCTGACATCACCAGTGGTACATTATAGCTTCATGGGGTCCAGGGAAATTTGAATTGAGGACCTCCTGTATAATATTGACTTCAGACATTTTTCTTCAGGGGAAATTTTCTTTAAAAGATTTGTTTGGGTCTTCCTGTGGTGAGGGCCCCAGACAATTGCTGTTTATGCCCATAATGCACTAATGGACTTCTTTCTTAAAACTAAGTTGTTTGATTCATCAGTGCAATGCTGTTTGTTTAGTTGGTATAGTGTCTTTATTTATACTTTTCTACATTAGCACAAAAAATCTGTGTAAGACAAAATACTGTATCTCAACTAGTCAAATAAGCATTGAAAATAGTGATATGCATGCTGTAATTCAAGAGTATAATATCAATTTTTGTAGATTCATTTAATGTGGAAAACTGAATTCTTAATAAGTTAATTCAATGGTTTTTTTGTCATCCTTACTTTTATGTCAAATAATCAAAAACATCAGTTAATGATGAGAATTACATTATCAGTTTTTATTACTCAGCATCACTTTACTATATTGCATATTTATAAATGTTAAATTTTAACTAAACACCAACCAAATGCTGAAATTCTATCAGGCTAGTTTAAGGCTAATTACTAAATGAATTAAGTAACCAATTTGGCTCTAGTAATTAGTCTTAAACTAGCCCAATAGAATTTCGGCATTTGGTTGGTGTTTAGCTATATCATATATCGGGTTTAGCAATGTTTGTAGTTAAATTTTAATTCAATTTTATTTATTAAGGTTTTTTTTTATTTGACTACTTAAAATAAGAAAATGTAACCTCATTAAACATGTGCAAATTGAGTACATACCATAATCTGTTCTGTACATTTAGATCATGTTTTGGATGCAATCAGTTTCTACACTAATTATGTCATTCACAGTGAATATGTCATTTAGAGACAAAGTAACAGAACTTATATGGTCAGATCAACTAATAATGTTCTTACAGCACTGATTATTATGAAACTGAAATTATAGCAATAATAAAGATGTTTGCAAACAGTCAGTCTTTAAAATCAAATCATAATGAGGAAAATAAACATTTGCAATTTGTTTTAAGAAAGCATTTGCATTGAAGAACTCTGATATACTGATACTGTTATAAAATGATATAAAATGCCAAATAATAATAAAAAGAGGGACCAAAAATAAAGACATTTTTGCAACTCTGCAAGAAAATTGGGTTGAGAAATTTCATTTTGTCAATTTTGACAATTGTCAATGAAGAAAGGCCAGGACACCTCACTTTCATTTTGATCTACGAGAACAAGTCAAAACTGGATGCAGTATACAAGTAACAATTGATTATGTGACAACAGAAATTGGATGTTCCATCAAGTTAGCACACAATCATGCATGATCAGTTGCATTATTGAAGTGTGAGTAAAATGAACTGAGAGAGTTTACCCTGAAAATAAAACAGGATCACATAGGTATCTGCCTAGAAAATCTGGTATACAACAGAAGAGGAGCACAATGCTATGGTGGCAACTGGTAATGGGTCATGGGGATACTACATTCAGCCAAAGTTAAAACATGCATTTATGATGTGGAAGAGCATAAGCTTGTCAGAAACCAAAAAGTTCAGCCATATTGACTATCTTTTGAGACCCTGAAAAAATTCTCCTGATAAAGTTAACAAGATGACAATGTCAACGGCATCACCTCCTCTTAAATGTTGTATGACAAAAGTATTGCAATTCATAAGAAATGACCAAAGCTGCTGACAGAAGTGATACTTCTCCATGACAATGCCAGGCCTTATACTGCACACAATATCCTTGTTACTATACAAAAATTAGGATGGATATCCAACTTAGTCTCAACCTGACTATCAGTGCCTTCCACTTGTTTGGACTCCTAAAAGAATATCATGGTGAAAACTTTCTGAAGTGAAGAGATGGTTGGAGAACAGATCTGACACTGGCTCAGACATCAATTTAAAAGGCTTCTATGCTAAAGGATTTCAGAAGCTTGTTAAAACGATATCTGAACTCATTGTGCTCTTAAAGCACAATGAGTCCAGCTTTAAGCATTCTGCTCTTAGAATAAGAGGGAATAGCAAAAACCATCAAAGTAAGGAGGAGGAGTTCCAGAATTCTGAATGTTCATTTAGGATGAAGAAGAAATATTGATATCCATCAAAAAGGGAAGGTGAAAATCTCAATGCCCACTTAGGACAAAGGGAATGTTTTTGCCTGCTAAGAGGGATAGGAAAAGCTCTAGAACTTTGAATACCTATATAGAAATTCAATGTTCCAGACAATACAAGAACAGTAAATATATCATCATCCATCAAATAGGAAGGGCATGTCAATATCAATCAAGGATCAATATCAAGGAAGATACGTAGGCTTAAATGTACATCTAGTGTGAATAGGGAATGTTTAAGGCTGTCAGTTAAGATTAATAGGGCTCTGATCATCATCCTATGGGTAAAGATGAGATGTGAAAGGTATCAGATAGAAGGGGGACTTTACTCTTCCAGTTTTGAATGCTTGAATAGGACAAAGACGAAAGGCTATGACCAAAGAGTACTCCTAGTCTGAATGTCCTTTCCATTTGAAGAGTACTGAAAGATAATTCAAATGCCCATTTAATGTCAGTGAAGAAGGATATCTGGTGAAAAGTCAATGCTGTTTGTCATACAAAAGCAACAGAACAGATCCTTCCTCATTTAGGTTAAATTTCTATCTTGGACAAGTAAGAGAATAAAGCATCAACCACACATAGGCAGCAGACTGCTTTCCCTTCATTTAGATTAGATTGGTAATGGCAGCAGTGTTTTATTGGCATTGTATTAAAGTTTTTTTAGAAAAAAATACATAAATATTTATTAATAGTAATTCATTTGAACTATTAAATATTAATTAATACACAATAGTCTTGTTAGCATCAACCCTTACAGGTTGTCCCAATTGCTAGTTAAGCTTAACAAACATTATACAATTTTGGCATCAAAGAAAGTTATGCTGCATACATATAGTAATATTTCACTGTGTGTAGAGCCATAGATTTTTATTTTAGGTAAAAATTAGTTTTGTGAATTCAGTTTTTTCTGCATTTCTAGTGATTGGTCATGTTTTTCTTTGTTCTGGTATTATCCCATATAAAAATGAAATTTTTTTTTCTTTCAATTTTTGATTGTCCTATGGGCATCAAAAATTTGATTAAAAATAAAAAGTGCATTTAAATGATTCATGCAATTGAAAAAATGTAAAAAAAAATAAATAAACAAAACTCATATATAAAAACTGTCATTTATTTTTCTTTATTTGACATTAACTTAAATGATATATTGTTTACAATGTGTAAGAATGTGTGATTCATTATACATCTATCTCATTTTTCATATATTTCATTTTCTTTACATTGTTTACAGAGACACAAACACAAAATGATATTTGAAAGTGTCGACATTTCGTGATGCATGTCCTGTATCAGCAATATTCTTTATGAAAAAAGATGTCATAATTAAAACAACTAATGGTGAAGTGGCTGATATACACTTAAATCATTGAAAAACCATTAACAATATAATGCATTTATTTAACATTCTGAAACATTTTGGCAATGTAGCATATTTATAAAAAGATTTTTCTCCATGGGCTAGAGATGAGATTAATTTATTTAAAAAATCTATCACCACAATTGTTTATTAGGATCTTAACATATTAATTTAGAACAGTTGTAAAATTACAGTTGAGAAATATAAAAATGCAAATAAATTTTTAAGTTTAAATTAAAGTAACCAACAAGGTTACTGCCAGGTGTCTGATATGCTAAATGGAAGATACTTCAACATGCATTCTAAATGCAGAAAATAACTTTTTTTTTATCAGTTAAATTTATTTTTTGGCGTGAAATTTTAAGTCCTATAAGGATAATTTATTAAACTGTAAATATTATCTAGCTGAATAATGTTTCTGTTGCCTTTTCAAGATCCCAGGAACATGATGATAAGGCCACTCTAGCTCTGTGCTACAAAGAAAAAAAAATTTGAAATTTAATTCCATGAAAGTATTATATTTAAATTTATCAAAATTTGATATTATAGATAATAAATTTTACAAAATATTTATTAAATTCAAATGAAATCATTGCAAATATTCAATTTAAATGCTATTTATTATAGTATATTATTATTATATCAATTATTATAACTTGCCATTTTATGTAGAAAACTTTCATTCAAATTTATGCATAATGCACATTTAACTTCATATTTCTCCCCTAATTTAATTTATTTAAAAACTTGGAAAATTTACTTTCTTAAATATTTTTCAGAATGCAATGTTAAATTGCAAATAAATGTAATTATACAAATTATAATTGTAAATTTCAGAAGAAAATTAGACATTTTAAAAATAAAAACATATAGTAGTAATTATGGAAATTGCATCACTGAATGGCATAACTACATAACTACAGGGAAGGCAGAAAAAGCACTTGGACAGGTGAACTTGGAAGTAATTCTTTTTATTAATATTATTGTTCTTTGTTTTAGCTTATTCCCATGTTTATATGAAATCAACATTCCCATCTTTAATCTGTCTTCTCCACTTCTCTCTATCCAGGGTAACCTTTCTCCTCCATCCCCTCTTCTGCCACCTTCTCTCTCCATCTCAACTTGTCTTCCCTCTTTCCTCCTCCCTATCACTTTCAACTTCCCAATCCTCTTTTCAACTTAGTCCTCACTTCTCTCCACATATCTAAGCCATCTTAATCTACTTTCCTGTATCTTCTTACTTATAGGATCCACCTTGACTGTTCCTCTTATGTAATCATTCCTAATTCTGTTCTTTGTTACACCACACATCCATCTCAGCATTCTCATCTCTGCTGTCTCCATCTTTTCAAGGGCTCATGTAATTGCCCATGTCTCAGCACTATACATCATTGCAGGTCTTACCATGGTTTTATATAATCTTCCTTTCATTTTGCAGCTTATTTTCTTATCACAGTATCCCACTGGTCTCTCTCCAGTTCACCATCTACTATGAACTCTATACTGGATTTCTGCACTCATTCTTCCTCACTTGCTATATATGATCTGATACTTAAATTTGGAAGCTGTTATTAACTTTTCACCCTGGAGTTGTATATAACTCTTATTCCCTCCACCAGATGTCATATATACTGTCTTTGCTCTGTTGATCTTCATGTCTCACTCTTCTGGTGCTTTTCTTAATTCCTCCAGTTTCATTCAAATCTTCTCTAAAATTTTATATTACGAAATAGCAGCTGCCATAAGTGATTGTTTATATTACCAACTTATATTAATCATTTTATTAAAATTATAGTAACTATCTTCTGTAATTTTAATGAAATGATTAATATAAGTTGGTAATTTAAAATTTAATGGAAGATTTTAATTTATTACCTTAGCACATAAGCATAAAAGCATTTAAAGTTTTAAAACTTACATATATCATATATAAAACTATAGATATGTAGAATAGAGTCATGCCTTAAGACAAACTTTGGTCTCCTTGGTAGTGCTTTACATGGAATATTAGGTAGGATGATTGGCAGTAGCCAGTTGGATTCCCAAAACATGATCTATGAGTCATATTAACAAGAAGTGTCTGATTGAAAAATCTATATTTTGTCTTCAGGCCCACTAACTTAAAGTTATATCACTGGCATCACCTATTGTATATAGTCAACACTGTTTATATGTTTTTCATTTGTATGTTTTTTGCAATTATATACTAAATATTTTCTGCACAGTACTTTCTCCATTATAAAACACTTCATTTATATCCATATGTTTTTCATTTATACAATTTTACACTTATACAACACATTTTTTGGTATCCTACAGCACTTGTTTTTCAATTATGTATTATTCATTTTCAAAATGGAAAAATTTTAATTAGAAAGAAAAGCAAAAAAGCAAATTATGTAGCAAAAAAAATAATTCACTTCAGCTTAGTCCACACTGACAGTGAATTGCCATAAAATTCAAAAAGCAGAGCAAATAATATATGATGTGGTTTCAACAAGTTTTCTTGTTTAGCAAATCACACTGCCTTCCACACTTCGTACTGTGAATCAATTTCACAAAGTGAATAAAAATTACTTTTTGATTTCTCATGTATTTTCACTGTTCATTGTTAGTGTGAACTTTCATTAACCTTTAAAATGACTTTTCCATCTTTCAATGTAACTAAGAGTTTTGGCAGGAGGATATACTGGTACAAAATGTGATATTGGTTAAGTGATAATGTTATTGAAAAAATAAAAACCAAACAAACTTGATCAATTTTTTTTAAAGTACATGACTTAATTTTACATTGTTTTACTTTTCCTTTTATATGTTGTTCCAATGTATTATACATAGGCTGTTTTTTTTCAAACTCCAAAAGGTCCATAAAACAAAGACAAGTGTAAATAACAAAATGAATTTATTACCAAAAGTTAGGTACAAACAAAGTTACTTTTCGACATAATCATCGTGAAGATTGAGGCATTTGTCATACCTGTGGATGAGCTTTTCCATCCCCCTTGTCATAGAATGTTGCCACCGATGACTTGAGATGAGACCTAATGTAATTTTGAAGATTGTCATTAGTCTCAAACCTCTGCTCTTCTAGCCACTTTTTCTGTTCGGGAAAGAGGTGGAAGCCACTCGGCACTAAATCGGGGCTATATGCTGGGTATTTAAAGATGGTGAAGACTTCCATCTTTCAGACTTTCACCCAGCTTGGAACTTTTTAATGTGTGAAGACTTCCACCTCTTTCCTGAACTGAAAAAGTGGCTAGCAAGGCAGAGGTTTGAGATTAATAATGATCTTCAAATAAACATTAGGGCCCATCTCAAGTCATTGGCAACATTCTATGACAAGAGGTTGGAAAAGCTCATCCACAGGTATGACAAATGCCTCAATCTTCACGGTGATTATGTCAAAAAGTAACCATGTTTGTACCTAACTTTTGGTAATAAATTCATTTTGTTATTTACACTACTTGTCTTTGTTTTACGGACCATCAGAGCTTGAAAAAACTGCCCTCATACAATACATATAGTAAATTGAAACTTCTTTGTTAATAATTACAAATTCAATTGTATAGTGTTAACTTGAACTGATACATACTTTTTCAATGATTACATTCACTCTGAAAGCAATTCAAAAGTAGCAATTCAATTTAAAATGAATTAAATAAGGAATTAGAAGTTTTAAAAAAACAAGATTTGATAACAAGAATAATTTTAAAAAATAAAAAGCAAAAACAATTGTATACCTAAATTTAATATAAGAGTAAAAACACACAAAAATCTAGTTAAGTATAGACTATGAATTGATGTTAAAAATTATCTATACTATAATTTAGAAAAATTTTTAAAGGATAAGCTTAATATGTAAGAAACATCCGATTTCAGTTTAAAAAATGTTGAAACATAAAATACATTAAATAACAGAAATATTATTATAAATAAATATATGAAATTGTTATCTTTAGACACAAAAAATATGTATCCTAGTATAACAAAGAATAATATTGAAAAATCTTTACAGAAAATTAAAGCACCAGATTGGATTATTAAATTACACAATGCAACAAATTGCAAAGTCACAAAAACTTTTTTCGAAAATGTTCTCCTGAATTCGAAAATGGTACTCAAAACATCGTATCACCCACAGTTTTTGCACAAATCACATATTTTGCAATAATGATAATATACATGAAGACACCATATGAAGCTCAGAAGCGGCGCATCACTTTCAACTGTTCAACAATTGCACCCCTAGCGGCACACAGCAAACTGCCACACTACAAATGGCACTGCCTTTCCATCACTGTGTTATGTTTGTGCAAGGAAGTACGTGTTAGTGTACAATGTCTACCCGAGGCTGTGTAAACTCTCCTAACTGTTTTTGTTATATTTATGGTGAACTTGTGGTGAAAAAAGACTGAATAAACATTTCTGCTTTCGTGAAAAAGGTCTACCACGCCTATTTTGGAATGAAACTAGGCGACATCAATAAAGCATGGGCTCCACAGGTTGTGTGTGTTGTGTGTATAGAAGATTTAGGATGGTGGGCAACAGGAAAGAAGAGGTCATTGTGATTTGGCATCCCTATGGTCTGGCGGGAGGAACAGAATCATACCGACAATGGCTACTTCTGCTCTTGTAAGGTTACAGGTTTCAACAAGAAAAACAAGAAGAGCATTGAGTATCCGAACAACATTTGCTCAGTGATTCGTCCTGTTCCACATGGCCTGCATATACCTATACCATAGCCTCTGCAAACATTAATTATGGATGACAATGATGACACAGATACCGTTCAGGAGACAGAAGATACTGAATTTGAAGTAGGCACAGATGAGGGCCCTCTTCTGTTCACTCAGCCAGAACTAAATGATTTAGTCCATGATCTGGGACTGACAAAGGATAAAGCAGAGCTCCTAGGATCAAGACTGCATGAAAGACATTTGTTAGCAGCTGGTACGTCCGTTACATTTTACAGAAAAAGGGACTTGATATTCATACAATATTTTGCTCAAAAGGACTTGTTAGTATACTACAGTGATGTACAAGGTTTGATGGGTCAGTTCAACATTTCGTACGCACCAGCTGACTGGAGACTGTTTATTGACTCATCTAAAAGAAGCCTGAAGGCAGTTCTGCTGCACAATGGTAACATGTATGCCTCAATACTTGTCAGCCATTCTGTGCACCTGAAAGAAACATATGACAACATTAAGGTGCTTCTTACTACCATTCATTATGAGGATCACAATTGGATGGTGTGTGGTGATTTGAAAGTGTTGGTATGCTTCTAGGACAACAATCAGGATATACCAAGTTCCCCTGTTTCATCTGTGAGTTTCTACTCACAGATGAAACAGGGGAACTTGGGTTCGTGACAAACATTGGGAGCAAAAACAGTGGCCTCAAAGGTTGGAATTGGTTCCAGGAGACAAAAATATTAAGTGTGACCCTCTAGTAAAAATAGACAGAATACTCT